TGTACAGCCAAAGGGCCTCGTTAAATGTCCAACTCTGTTGTCCGTGTAGCATCTATGCTTTCTAGCACACTGGTGACATAAGCAAGCTCGACAGGCTTGCAAAGACGGAGCAACCGGAAGTTGCTCGGGAATGAAGGGGCAGTTCATGTTTGTAACAGCTGAAGGGTCTATTCTACAACTCCCTTTTGTTTCACCGGTTTCCAACGCCAACGAAACGTGGTGCAGTGAACAGACGTGCAAGCGGGTATGCGTTGCTTAGAACTGGAAAGGCTGAAATTGTCAAAACTACGGCGCGTAAAAATGAAAGAAACTAAAAGTTCTGGAAAGATTAATAAAAAAAATCCGTTTCTTATATATTTTTTTTAGGGGGGGGGGGGTGGGGAGGGGGGGCATTTGGTCCAGAAAGATTGGCGGCGAACCGGGAGGTTTTTGCCGATTGGCAAAAGTCGACACTTTGACAGCACCATACGCTTTACCCACAATTATAGTAATTTTACGTGGATTTCTCCAATAGTTAGTGTTTTCATTGATTTTTGACTATTTTTATGTTATAACTTGGTAATTAAAGATGCTGCAATTGGTATCAGTGATGATAATTCGCGAACTTTTGATTTCCTCACTTTTGAAAGTAGACACAGAAAGATCACGCATTTCCTCACGTTTGAAAGCAGATCACGAAAAACAAATTATATTAGAGCTTGAGGAACTACTACGAAGATATCCCAATTGAATTATTAACATTAACAATACAAATGGCGGCAATGTAGGCCCCAATAAACGCCAGAATCACAAAAATACGCCATTTAATCATAAAAGACTTTCCAGAAAAGTAATATTTTGTTTTCTTGTTAAACATGAAAAACTGACATCGTTATCAAGATACACAGACAGTCAAACACTGGATGTAATATAAAGTCATATGCGTCACGCGTTGGTTTAAAAACACACACACTCTGACAGCAGCGTTGATGCTAGATTTCTTTTTTGTTCCAATGAACTGCTGCCATCGCACCCCTCATATTTTGCCCTACGCGTCCGTTTGTGCGAAGTCAAGTGATGAAGAGTCATAGCTGGTTGGTCCAGCTAGGATTCAGCTTTCACAGCGCTGTCAGGGATGAGCACGGTTGAGGTCTCATTAGAGGTTCTTCTGTGTTTGCGGGGTGAACGTGTATAGGCAGAAACATCGACAAACAAAAATCGGTTCCGTGTAAAAATAAAAAAAAAATAAAAAAGAAGATTTGTTTTGGGGGGACAAGGCGTGGAGGGGTGGAGAGGGAAGAAAGAGGGTGAGAGGAGGGGGGGGGGCGGAGGAGAAAGCCGACAAATGCACAACGGTCACTGTGTCGACGGTCCCAATCGACACGAACCCTACTCGACAGTTTTATGGTTCATTAGTTTTCTGCTCTTTTGTACGCTCGAAGTAGTCCGTTCGTTTTCTAAGAAGTCAAAGCCTGTTGCCCTTATGTAGAGAGTGGAATCCTTTCAGCCTGGCCACGGCCGCTGGATCTTCTTTCTGCGCGCTGCGCAGAAAGAAGATCCAGCGGCCGTGGCCTGGCTGACCGTACTGGCAAGTTCAGAAACGGGCTCTGGCTGGGCTCTGGTGCTTTCCGTGAATTCCTTTCCTTTCCCTCACTAGCACTCTCTTCGCGAGCAAATCCCCGTCTTGTGTTACCATGCTAAAAGTGCGAAGGCCGTTGCATGGCCCTTCTTTCACATCTATTTGTCCCTTTGACAGGACGGAACAATTGCAACGAGTAATTTCATTATTTCGTGACTAAAAAAAGTAATGAGATTACCTTACAAATTACATTTTCAAAATGTAACGGATTAATTACTAAAATACAAGAAAAATAATTAATCACAAGTAATCCCGTTACTTGAAACGGATTACTTCCATGTCTGCGTCAGGGCATGCGGCGTCGAAGGGGTCTTCGGCAAGTTGGCGTCGGCCACGAAATCGACGAAGGTGACGACCCTAAGAGCGACTATGGCAGCGTAGTCTAGCGGTGGACTGTCTACTCCGCCGCCGACGTACAGCCTCTGGTTTACTGTCTGTCCTCACCATGCCTAGGGTAGCCGGGAACTTCCGACAATCACACGTTAAAGCATGAAATGCTTTTTAGCGGAACCCTTCCAAAACCAAAATGTTGTCCGTTCGTCCGCGCCTTTCCCGCTAAATTTATCGGGGAACTTAATCGGTGCTTGAAAAACGTGACGTCAATTGATGTACACCAATTATGTTTCCCCGCCAAAGTCAGCACGGAAATTGATGTCACGCGACCTGACGTCGCGCGACCTATGCGCCAATTCACTTTCTCCGCTAAATTTGCCGGGAAAGTCGGCGTCATGTTTCCCGCCAAGGTTAGCGGGGGAAATTGACGTCACGTGAGCTATACACCTATCATTTTCCCGCTCCCCACAGCGGAGAAATCCATAAGAAATAAACGTTCTTTCTCACTCCCCGAAACGACGGTGTAATGTCTACTAAACGATTTTGCACGATTGCTCCTGAAATACTGCAATCATGTAAATTCTAAAACGTTGGAAAAAAAATACAAAAAATGTCGCTGCCGGTTTCAGAGGTACTGATAGCTTAGGGCGCGGATTATTATATGTATGCCCTTTGCTTTGTGATTGGTTCCTCGGCGTTCGTATCGACCAATGCCGGAATCTCATTGGTCCGGAGCAATATTACGATGTTCGGGACTCGCCACACTCTGCTGCTCCCTGGCCGTCAGTGACTACGGAAGCAGATGATGTTTTTAACGAAAACGTTCTTGACTATTCTTAGATATAAGATTACGAAGTAATATAATGTATTCATTATAGCCGCAAGTAAACGAATAGCAAATAATTTATAATACTTAGATGGCTTTAGTTAACTAACGCCATAGTAGTTAAACCAGAGAATAAAATCTGCGAGACAGAGATGTCATTGGCCTTTCTGCGACACTACGTGCATCTTTTTAGACAAACGAGGGAAAAAAATATAAGCTTCGTCTTTTTTATCCCACATTTACTCACTTAATTTATTCGTTTGATGGGTATACGGCGTTGCTCCGACAGTATCGCAACAGCTCTAATAATATTGGACATTCTACGCACGCATATTATTTTCCATTATTCATCTTATTTTGACACGCGCCTTGACGGCAATCAGTATGTCTTCGTGGTTTTGTGCAATTCGGTTTCTTTTCTATAATAATACCCTCTTGTTTAGAATTGTCATATACACAATCTCGGGGATTAACATTATTTTGCCGCGAACCTTGGCTGCGAAGGTGCAATCCAGTTCTATGCTGTGCAAGTCTGTTGGCTTGTCGCGCAGCGCGTGGACTCGCTCATTAAAGGGACATACGCGCGTTCGCTTTTCCAGTACGCGGGACGCGTTTTGCATGTTAAACAGTGACGGTAGCACCTGATTGACCTCCGCAGCAATGTACGATAAGCACCGACAGTCAATAAACCCACGTTCCTCTCTTCCAATTCCAATAAAAAATATAATGGGCACTTTTTGTTGCAACATTTTTTTACATTAGGACTCGCAAAGCTGATCAGTGCGGGCAATTGTTTTCTCCCCCGTTTCTTTCTTAATATTATTACCACTGTATCGCTTGCAAGCAGTTTTGCACTCACTACAGAAAGAAAAGTAACAAAATCAGTTACTCGATACTTGTACATAAAAGGAACGCGTTACAGACCTTAAGCTACCCAAAAATAAAAGGAACGCGTTACGTTCAAAAAGTAACACACGTTTGTTTGGCGTTACTTTTTTGTTTATGAATTGAAACGTTTAACCGTTCTGACGTTACAGGCATGCCTAAACGCCATATTTCAAGCAACAGTATGTCCATGTAGAAATTAATAAAGTACAGTCACTTTCTCTCTCTCCATGCAGAAACTTAAAATAATTAGCTTATCTTTTTTTTACGGTTCTGAGTTTGAAGGTAGGTGGAATGATCGCGAGAATTCACATGACTTGGCGCCTGGAAGCGTAAAATAAATGGAAGAGTAATTTTTAAAGTCCTGGGTAGAAGAGCTAGCGAGTAAGGTATATATACCTACGCTACCTATTAATAGAAGTAAGTAACGTACATTCGTTATAAGTAACATCCATAATTCGAAAAAAGTATCACGTTACCGGTAACACCATTGCTGGTAACGCGTTGCCTCCAACGCGGCTTGTAAGCCTGTCTGCCTAATGTAAAGTAAAAAGAACGTCGAGAATGTAAATTACAAATTTTGTGAGTTTCCGACTGTGACTGCAATTCGCTTGGCGAAAACGTGGGAATGAATTGTATCCAGGTGTCTAGTACAGTCAGGATGTGTCGTAATACGCCATATGCTGCGGCCTTCGACACTGCATACTCGTTCTCAATTCAAGAAGAAAGAGAAACAAGTTTTAGGCATTGTTCATGCGCCGGGCGAAGTAGCCCTTACAAGATTTGGCTGTCGGAGCAAGAAGGGATGTTTTTGGCGTTTGAAGCCTGTACGTCTTGATAAGATAACATATATATGTAACCTAATATGCACCTACATATATCTTGATTCTCTTCATAAAAGGGGAAATTAGGAATGCTCCGTGAGGAGACGGAATATTTATACTAACAGTTCTTGACAAGGTGAAAACGATTATAAACGAGGTTCCTTTCTTGTTTCCATGTTCAGTTTCTTTTTCTGACACACTCGCAATGGAGGAGAATACCCACTAGGGCAAACCTTGCCATCATATCTGTCTCGCGATTGTTTCCCTCTAGCGTAGCTGTTTATCCAGCCGAGGCGATGGTAACACTGTGCACGTAATATATTTAATTTCACGCGGACGACCTTGAGAACACGTGGCAAAGTTTCACGAAGAAAAGGAAATTGTCAAACCTGTATTGACCACGGACGGGAAAAGAGCAACTCGACCTGGGTACATATCGGTCGAGCCGGTTGCCCGGTCAACTTGCAACCGGACTTGCAATGAAAGCGCGAGGAAGCTGATATAAACATCGCATTTCCGCTCGCGTAGCAGTCTACCTGTTTTGCTCGCCGACGAAGCATGTCGTTCGTTCGCTCTCTGAGTGTGCTTTTGGCCTTGGGTAAGACTCGTCGACGCCTGCCAGTGGTCATTGGTTTAGTGGGCCGTGCTAGTTTAGAGAGAAAGTACTTTACAGAACCCGTATCCCGTGATTGAGGGTTGCCAGCCCATACGAGGCCTTTAATTTTAATGCGAACATAATTTTTTCAAGGGGTGTAAAAGACGAGTACCGTCTTCACTGTGTATATATGCGGCTCGGTGGACATAGAGGAGGAAATAGTACTTATGGTAGGTTGAATAATTAACTGAAATTTCTTGGGATGATTGCTTTTAGGGGTCATGTTTCAATTACAATATTGACGTAAGTGACCGTTAGAGGCCGGATCAATTAAAATTATTTGTGCAAATTGAATGTTTTTTTCCGGATATTAATTAATACATTTTTTATGTCCTTTAGCCCGTTTTCAAAATTGCGCGCAAACAGCACACCTCAAACCCTGCTGCTCACAATGACGCTTAGAAGAGCGGCGTAGTCGTCTCGATCGCATCGTCATTCGTGTCATCTGCGTAGCCACCAAGAACACGCTGCGGAGATGGTGACGATACGATTGAAACGTCTACGTCCCTTTTCTAAGCGTCATATGGGCTCGCGGCACGCATTTTTTGCGCGCAGTTTGTTATCCGGCTAAAGACAAAAAAATTCGAAAATCGATAAATGAATACCTTAAAAACCATTACAGTCTAGCAAATATCTATTTTTTTTTTAAATATTGGATTCTCCGCTTAATGGTAATTGCTCTTAATAAAGCAATTACAGCAGGACCCCTAGAACTAATTATTATAAAGTAAATGCGAAGGTTTTTACTTAATAAGCCAACTTACCATGATGATCGTACCCTCATCTAATGTCCGCCACGCCTGATAAATAAATACATGGTGAAAAAAGAAATCCCCTAAATCTTTCCCCTTTAGAAAACCACAAAAAAAAACTGTTAGAAATAAAATGAAACGCCCCGTGTCGTTACTGACAGCTTAAAGAACGCTCAGTGCGTGGCTTATGACGTTCGTGCGTCTTGATTTGTCATTCCATCTTCCGCATTCTTTATTGGTGTTAATGCCTTATCTTAATTAGCTGCAAAGTGATAATAAGTTACCCTGAATCCCTGTGCCTTTCTGAACCCTCTCAGTTTGACTGTTTTTCTATCGTTTGATATTTGGATCGTGGGTGTACCTTACTGTAGTATACGGTTCAGCAGTTGTAGCCTTTGTAATCGGCCCGGCAGCCTCCTCTGAAAATTCCAGTCATGGTTATTGAGAATATAACGACTTTGCAGCTCCAACTACTAAATATTTCAAGAGTTTATGATATATTTAATAAAATTAATTTAACTTGTCACGTTAAAAAAGTATTTTGGGGCATTGCTAGTTTAACTTTTCTTTCACTAAACCAAAGCTGAGAGTAACGTGTGAACTGCTTTTAACTATTCCTCACATCTTGTGAAGGGCCGCTTAAAAGTTGAGTTTGCACAGCACACTTTTCTTATTATTATACCGTGCAGAAGCGTTGTTAACCTCGTTTTATTGTCCCCCGCATTGTTGAAAGCTGGGTATACCAGCTTTTTCTTTCGAAACACTGACACCAAACCGACTAACACAAGTCGGTAAGAAGGCGAGTAAAATTCTGGTGATAAAATTGTCGACCTCAATCATATTTATGATCTTGCGTCTAAGAGTGAAGCTACCGGCGTTGTTAATGCGACAGAATGTAAAATCAGAGCAAAAGCAAACTTGATTAGAGCGATCGTTTTATGCTCTTTCATTTTAATAAACTTGAAGCTTGTTAAACTTTCGCAGTTGCTACGAAAAGGACGAAATATGTGGGCGAACGCATATCGATATTTGCCACGTCATCGCACATCACCAATATCTGCCTAAGATGTCAAAATGCCATGTGCCCTTGTTTCAACCTGGTCTATTTTAATTGTTAGAATCTGTTATCTCATCATTAGGCTTGGAAGGATTGACAATTTTCATCCTCAATACTCTTTGTGGTAGGATGCAATGATGTCACCTGTAGGTATATACACAACATCGGTTAGTCCGGTAAAGATGAATTACCATAAGGGGAGATGAAAACAACTATTAGAGCAGCTAGAAATGCCATATATGAAGGGTAGAATAAAGTTATCCTATATTACGTTAGACGAAAAACTTTTTAATTCGGAAATTTCTTTTAAATCCGGGAGAGTAAAACGAGAGAAAGTGCAATCGAGTTTACCTACTTTGACGAGACGAAAAGATGCACTAATATAGTTTGTTACGTTACGCACGTTGAATAATGTGCTTGTGCCGATCGCCACTTTGTGTTTCAGTCTCCCCTTTCAGGGTAGATGCTAAATTATCAATGGTTTATGACTATTATTTGAATAAAAATGAATTGTTTTTCAACTTTTACTATCCGGCATGATTCTGTGACTTGTGCTGCGTTCAGAACTGAAGTATTCGATACTTTTCGAGGACGCCCCAGAAGCTACAATTGTAAAAAATCATTCTCTTATTTATTCACGAGATATACCATAATGTGAGTTGCTTCAACTATGTCACATTTTATTTCAGTGCCCTTTACCCTACTCAACTGGCAAACAAAAAAACTGCGAACACAAAAACTGCAAAGAAACGTGCATATTGAAAGATTTACGGAAACTTCCTCTATTGCTGACCGTTTCTGTAGAATAGTTGGAACCACTCATTTTGATTGGATGGCTATATGCATTATTTGTTAACCATGAAGATTAGTTATTATAAATGGCTTCTGTGCCTATAAGCGAATAGAGGTTTTAATCCTGAGTTAACCTACTAGGTAAATATTTGGTTGGAGAAGCTCTTTAAGCACGTTAATTTACCCTACCAGGTGGAGTCGCTGTGGGGTCCAGTCAAACCTGCCAAGCGGTGAGTGTGCTCGTCAGATATATGGCAAATTGAGGAATAATGACGTTCCTGCCATTGAATAAGAAGTACATATTAAACTCTAATTGTCCAAGCGCGCAATCCGCACCCTGTGGTATGGGTACTGAAATAAACCATTATGGGTATTTAGAACAAATACGCCTACGCATTGATTTGTTGACTAGAATATCTTAAAAAAAACCTCTGCTTCGAAACCGATACAGAAAGGGGTTGGATAATAAACTAGACAAAGAATATTTTCTCATTCTTTGAGTCGTCGCAGACGAAAAAGAAATATGCAAGAACTGCTCAATGAGCTTCCTCGAAAGTGAACGGCCTTTATTTTACAGTCAGGGAAAAGCATGAGAGCACCGTTATCGAATTATTTATTATGCTGAAGGTAAGAGGTATAACGATAATGATACATTATGATCAAAGACGCCGGCAGAGTATCTAGTGTAGTTATTGGAGTTATCGGCACGGTCTACTAATACCCCTGTTACACGGGCACCCTTAACCACGGCTAACTCAGCTTTATTAGCCGTTACGCGGCACCACAGTTATCACACTATACTGTCGAACAGTTATTTCAGAAGTAGTGAAGAGTGTGCTTGCACTGCTTTGATGGGTGCTCAAGATGCTCAAGCGCATGTTCACCAATAGCATTGACTGCATTGCCGCTGAATGTTGTCCGCAAGTATTGTGCACTAGCTGTGGCTTAGCCTAACTGCAGTTAAGTGTGCCCATGTAACAAAGGTACTAGCCAGTATTTAGTTTAAACCCGTTTTAATTGTAGAATAGCTCAAACACCCTTAAGAAGAACACATTAAATGGGATACGCAACTATGGTTAAGCAATTAAGTGCTGGAAATATGTTGTGTCCGAGGCGGTAGTGATTGCCTAAGTGCACGCCAATGCGAGCAGTAAGCATCGTTTTGAGCGTAATCACTAGTGCGCCTTTTAAGTTTGTAGTGCACTGGCTGAATCGCCTATACACAGCAGAGACGTCATGATTTAATCCGAGAAACTTCCTGTTGTCAAAATATTTCTAAAACATGCTTGACGAATTCCTTTCATTTTGCTTCATTTTGTTTAGTGCTTAAAAGAAAATTTTGATTCCGTGTCTTATCCTCTTATACATATATGTGAAAAAAGTATAACCATGGAATGGTCACTTTTAAATATACATCTACCTGAGTGATTTACTTTTCTGTCCTGTAACATTGCACGACTTTGTTTGCAGGATTCGAATTGTTCCCGTGGGCAGAGATGCGTTTCTCACTTCAACTTCGCAAGTTCTGCGAACTGTGAAGAATCCCGCTATTGTGAGTACATTTCATCGTCTTACGGGACGTTTGCAAGTAAAGCAGACCTTGTTGCTCGCTCCGGAATAGGGAAGTTTTCCCACTTTCCAAGAATGTACCCTAGCCCTTTAGACAAGGTATGAACTTCACGTGTGAGAAGATTTGAAATACTTTCTGCACATTTGTAATGTAGCAATGTAGCCGGCTTTGGAAACATGTATTACTTCGCGCGTGCGGACGGTTGCGAAAAAAGCCACTGGCCGCCGCCATGTCTTTGCTCGTGCGGACATGCGCGTGCAAATTTAAGCTTGCCATGGCTATGTTCACGCGCAAGCTGCACGGGCTTTCACTCATGGGGGACCCAGTCGAGGCGCCATGCTTGCAATAGACCTTTTGCCGAATTACACAAGCATCCAAAAGAATGCCGTGTGTGCAGGTACACGAGCTGCGCGTGCTGGCATATTCAGCTCTAACTGTTCGAAAGCAAAACTCTAAAACAAATGGCACTTCGCACACGCGTTGAACGGACGCTTTATTTTGTTTATTTACTTCGAACCATTTTGTATAGGGAAGGCGAGCACGTGCAACACGTGTACCTACCTTCCCAATATTGTTTTTGATGCTTGGGTAATTTAGCGAAATGTCTGTTGTCTATACTCAAGGGCGTCATTGGTGAAATATTTTTCTAGAAATTTATAAATTGCGTTTAAACTTTGGGATCAAACTATCTAACGTTATAGCACCCGAAAATGCGTACTTTATCTGCATGATATAGTTAAAAAAAACAAGCAAGAATTTCTTTTGTCGTTAGAAATATTTCTGCTAAATACAATGTCTGATTTGATGTAAGATAAAAAAACAAAAACGACGTTTATAATGGCAGTTTTTTTTTTTTTTTTTTTGCGAGAACACTTTAGGTAGAGAGCTCTAAGAAACTATATGTCACGAATGACTAATGATTAGGCGAATAATAACTGGGGAAAATAAGCGTTTGATGGGGCGAGCCTGTGCCCAAAACAAAATAGAAGAATGTCAACGTCGCAGTTTCCGATGTCGGCAAAACAGCAGGATTGATCGCTGAGGCGAGACTGACTCCGGCTCGCCAAGCGGAGTCCCTTATGTACAGTAGACGCGTGGGCTTTCAGATCAATCAGGGTAGGAGGTTCGGCACGTGGAACATACGGAGCTTGAAAAAGCAACCGTGTTTTACGAATTTACCAAAATGCGACATTTACAGAAAAGAAAAAAAAGGTGCTTTTTAGGGGTTAATAGCGCTAAAAAACGACGGACGAGTAGGAGAGACACACACCACAGAGCGCTACTTGCAACTGGTTTATTATTGGAAAAACTACACGTACCGCGAAACCAACAAGACTCAGTTCCAACCGTCGCTAATCACACTTCTTACTCTTACACCATGCATGATCGTAAAAACGATAACTCTGATTCAAACAGGGTTATCGATGGGGCACTTACACACGTACCCTCGTCACACTCTGAAATAAAAAACGCTTCCGTTATCTCCCTTGTCTTTCTATTTTTGTTTCGTGCCAAGATGACGGTGTTGTCTAAATAGGGTAAACACTCACACCTACTGCAATGTACTGCGAGATTGCCAGAGGGGTCTGACCTCAATGACAGGGCATGTTCCCTCAGTCTTTCGTTCACGCATCGCCCCGACTGCCCCACGTATACCCTCCCACAAGACAGAGGAATTCTGTACACTACCCCCACTCTGCATCCTACGTATTTCGTTGCGTGCTTTTCTGACAAATATCCAACCGTGTGTCACCCCGTTCCACACTCCCACATAGCTTGCTTAATTTCTGTGGAGCTGAAAGGAGAACCGAAATGCCATGCTTTTCCCCCCCCTTTTTGATATTATGGCTAACGTTATGTATATACGGTATCACCACTGGTCTTTTATCTGGCTTGCCCCTCTCTTCCCTCTTCCCTCATCCACGAAACCTTTTTAGCAAGCCCTCTACCACCCCCATAATGATCTCACAGGGAAAGCCTCCCTCCTCCAGCCTCCTCACTTGTAACCCGAAGCTTTCGGCTACGCTGTGCTGACAGGACTTCGTTAAGGCCGCGTTCAGGCAGGTTGTGGCGATCCCCCTCTTGATAATCTTGGAGTGGTTCGAGTCATAGGGCAAAACACCTTTTTTCGCCCTAGGACAGTAAGTCCAACATACATGCGACGGGAGAAGGGCCAACTTCAGATCTAAAAACTGCAAACCACCCTCCACCGGGTTCTCACTTGTGAAATTCAAGCCCGAAGCGCTAGTTCTGAAAATCTCCAACATGTCTGACACGGTTGTTGTTGTTGGAACATGTTCAGACATGTTCCAACATGTCTGAACAACATGTGTGGAACGGTGTGACACACGGTTGGATATTTGTCAGAAAAAGCACGCAACGAAATACGTAGGATGCAGAGTGGGGGTAGTGTACAGAATTCCTCTGTCTTGTGGGAGGGTATACGTGGGGCAGTCGGGGCGATGCGTGAACGAAAGACTGAGGGAACATGCCCTGTCATTGAGGTCAGCCCCCTCTGGCAATCTCGCAGTACATTGCAGTAGGTGTGAGTGTTTACCCTATTTAGAGAACACCGTCATCTTGGCACGAAACAAAAATAGAAAGACAAGGGAGATAACGGAAGCGTTTTTTATTTCCGAGTGTGACGAGGGTACGTGTGTAAGTGCCCCATCGATAACCCTGTTTGAATCAGAGTTATCGTTTTTACGATCATGCATGGTGTAAGAGTAAGAAGTGTGATTAGCGACGGTTGGAACTGAGTCTTGTTGGTTTCGCGGTACGTGTAGTTTTTCCAATAATAAACCAGTTGCAAGTAGCGCTCTGCGGTGTGTGTCTCTCCTACTCGTCCGTCGTTTTTTAGCGCTTTTAACCCCTAAACATGTTCAACCAACTAGCCCAAATCCAAACCCTTCTGGAAAAAAAGGTGCGTCCGCGCCCAGGCATCGAACCTTTGCCACATTGCGTGGGAGTTCAGCACGATAACCATTCGGCCACGGGGACTTTTTTATATCCTTATTCGGAATACAGACACATGCATACATGAGTTTACACATTATTTACACTTTTAAAATGAGAAAGGCCAGTGCTTATGGGCGGGTGGTGATTTGAATTCTTTCATGCGTGTGATGATATCAAACACTCCAATCAACTCGGGCGGGTTGTCGCTCTGTTCATAAGCACTCTTTACCTGTGCAACATAATAAATAAAGGAAATACGCGTTGACCTGGGGAATCGCTCTGCGTGTCTCACCGTCATCCGCGACTTCCACAGGCTAAACCCAAGAACCATAATTATGTCTAGCAGAAGGTTCTCGTTTGCCCCGATGGGTAGAAAACGGATATAATGGGGTGTTAAGCACACGTCTTTTTTAATGTTCGTCGCAAAATATGGTTTACCCCCTATAAAAAAATAAAAAAGGAAAAAACACTGCTTTTTTGCAGTACAGAAAACTAAGTTCGATAGTTTCGGGAACCTTGCACGGTGGGCAGCTAACATCCCCTGGTTCGGCCACGTGTATGCTTACTCGGAGACGCGCGTGGCATTATTGCTTCGTTTCACAACGTTAAAGGGGTACTCCACCGATTTTTTGCGCTACCTCAACTAACTATATTTTCTGACTCCCCGGCCTTTACTCTCTCCGGTATGCTATTTAGAATCGCGAAATTCATAATAGTTATTGCAAAATGGGCAAATGAAAATGATGCAAAAACCAACATTCAAATATACGCGCGCTTTTCAGGGCCGTGACGTCAGTGGCAGGCAGGCTTGCCAGTCGAGCAAGCAGCCAAAAAATAGAATATGCCAATCATTTCTTCCGTGCTGGAGCGCGGGTACTGCAGCGAGCTTCCCAAGCATTCATTTGACACCATGAAACTGCTTTGAATCAGTTTAAAACAAAATCTACAGCCCAAAGAGTGAATCCCTGCCTTCCACTGACGTCACTTTTTCATTGTTGCCAGTAGAGACTTCGAGCTTGAAAAACACGGTGAGGACGAAAACTGTAAATTCAATAACTTCGCGAAAAAACAATATTTTGACCTAATATTTGGGATACTATTTTTGCGATGTTTGTTGGTTAGTTTAGCAAAATTTCAAGCAAATCGGAGACAATGAAAAAATCGGTGGAGTAGCCCTTTAACACCGTTTTTATTCGTGTGGAACACTTGATATGCTTTACTAAAACGATTTTGTATCTGCATTTATTTAGGTATCCCCGTAACCAGTGGGTCATGCACGGTAAGTCGGCCTTTTTTTTCATTGACTTCTGAACCAAGTGCAAGGTTCTTACTATAGAAGTGGGCATTCAAAAATTGAGCTAGAAGTGTGTTCGTCAGAAAAACAAACCGCGTTCTTAACTCTGCATAGCTTTGAATTCCGCGCTTTAAGTATGCCCTTGAGTCCATTTCTCGCGGAGCACACAGGGAGCCAACGACTGCAACCTGGAGCGTTCGACTCGTCCAACACGAAGCTGAAGCCGAAGTTCACGAAACTCGCCGATTGGACTCTTGTGACAGCGGTGTGACGTCATCGTCGCAAGAGTCCAGTCGGTGCGTTCCCTGAACTTTGTCGAGTACTCGGTGGCTCTCAGAAGGATCCAAACCGATCGTGCTTATGGGAACAACAAAGCCACGGGAGCACAAAATTGAATGCTTTTCACGCGCTAGCATTAATACCCACGTGCCAGTGAAACGCTGAGCTGTCCGTCTGGGGACGAAACACTGGAAAGGAAAGCGCGCCGCGTAAAGGGGAGGAGCCGAGTGAAGGACAAAGGGGAGGGGGAGGCGACGTCACGGGGCGGAAGCCAATGCGCGCGCGGGAAACCGGTGAACGGCGAAAGGAGCGTCAGGCAGTGGATGCCGCTGCTAAGCGCGTGCAAGGCAGGCGAACGAGGTAGAGGAGAGGAAGCAGCGCCTAGCTCGGCTAGCTGGCCAAAATGCGGCGCAAGAAACGGCAAGGCGACGCGGGTCTGAGCGCGACTGATGCTGGGACGAAGCCGGCTCGGCGAGCCCGCTCCGCCGGATAAGGTTAAAGGGACATTCATTGGTAGACCCTTAAGGAATGCGTTAGCATGACCCTTGGGAAACGCCAGACACGTCCCCCTTTGGAGAAATCTAACACTGACCTTGTAGCGAATCCAAGCGATAAAAAAGTGGTTTGAAGAAAGTGCCACTATTGCCTGTGACAGGTTATACATTCAGTAGACGTTTCGCTCGCAGCGCGAGCTTTCTTCTTTGATTAGAATGGACCTTTTCCGAGAAGCGTTCTGCGCACGCGCGAGCGCCCGATGCCAAGCGGTGGAAGTCGGCACGAAAAAATCGAGGAAATTCGGAATGAGGCTGTAAATCGACGAGTAGAACACGTAATTGCAGCATATATATAATTGTGTTACACAAAAAAAGAAAGTGGACGGAAAGAAAAACACGACGTTTGGGTGGACGCTACGGATTTCTTTCTTTAAAGTCGCGCTAGGCCTACCTCGTTGCATTGGGCACGCGACGCTGCTCAGAGAGCGAAGCAACTGGTAACGTAGCTCCCATTATTGATTGGTAGCGCAGGTCACTTCCTCGATTTTTTAGTTCGCGCAGCCACCGCCTGGTGCCGTCGGTATATGGAAAATGTCCATTCGCCGCTCGTGTACTCAAAGGCCTGCGGGAAGACAGTGAATACGTGCTGAAAGCGGAGCTTTTAATACATTTTTGGCCTGTCCCCGACTATGGTTATTGGAAGCACACCCCGTTAATATCCGAGTATTCAACTTGCCATTCTAATTAAATACTTAAAACAATGTTGCTAATTCGAGCAAAATAAATAACTAAAGGCTGGTTCACACAGTCCGATTTTTCTTACGTTACGTTACGTTACGGAAGCTTGCCTGTATTTGCTCACAAGTCGCCGGGACAAATGTGCTTCATATTAGGTGTTGCTACCAGTTCATGAAGACAGCCTTTCACGCGAGATTCGGGACACGAATGTTTCGGTGACATATCCGTAACGTAAGAACATGTAAAGAAACGGAGCTGTGTGAGCCAGCCTTAACTTTGGCACTGTCATCTATCCAGTAGCATTACACCAAAGTCAAATGAATGTAAAATTTTGGGTTTTTTCGTGTGTAACCAACGAAGGAGTTGGCATGCCCCAGCGGTGGACTGAGGATTAATTTAAACCACCTGCGTATTTTTAACGCAACAGCGTTAAGGACTTCGTGTCGCACCGGCCTCGGTGGCGTGGCAGAAAAGCCGGCGTCAGTGGCGTGCCGCGAAAATCCTGATTGGCCGATAGGGTCATGACGTCACAGCCAGATGACCTCGCGCGGAAATTTAAAACAACCCTCGACGCTCACGTGGAATGAAAGTTATTAAAAAAACATGGCATGAAACGCGAATTAAAGGTCGCCGCATGTCTCAATCTATATCACTTTCTAAAGTAATTCATTCGCCTTAAAGAAAAATTTAAAAAAAATTTAGGCGGGATTCGAGCCCCCGTCCCTTCAATTGCGAGCCACACCCGCTACTGTCTACGTTGCGCAGGGCACGCTTGCAAAGCGAATGAAAAGGCGATGCGAATGGGCCCCAATAACGCACGCGTTTCACTCTTAAAGGTGCCATGAGGAGGTTTTTGAGATTGCCCAAACATGGCGAGAACTCCCTCTGCGGGCTCTAAGCATCCTGCGGGCTCCAAGCATCCGATTTTTTTATTAAAAATGAAATCAAAGATCGAACGCACCAAGGTCATCTCCAGCGCAGGGAGGAGCATTGTACCGCGAGCCCAGGACCACTGTCAGCCAATAGCAAGATAAGGAACCTTGCGCCTCCGACCGGTAGAACCGCGGAGCGATAACTCGAATTCGCGCGGCTCGTTGCCCATTTGCTTCGAGAAGTATGGGTATCTCCGCCTAATGGGCTTTTGTGAACCCCCGAGTGAGAATACTTCAACTTCCTCTGCTGGTGCAAGCTCGTGCAATGACAAGCTTCTATGCACAATGAAAGTAACAGAATTACGTGGATTGCACGTGCTCTACCCATAGTTAGGAAAGCAGAAACGCCCCCAGCGAGCTTCTCGCTTCAAATTCATCCCGGACCTTCGGCGAGGATCGTACTGTCGTAAAACCACGTTGCGCACAAAGTAAATCGTGTGCTATCACAGCCGTCGCTTCATCGCGCCATAGCTCTTGTTAATTTGACACCTCTCGAGAAAGAGATGCTTCGACGAACAATCGAATGGGACCCATCTCTTATGATGCGACACCGTTGCACGACGTCTACCATGCAGCCCGGACTGCGATTCAACCCAGCGAGCGCGCGCTCGAGAGCTGACAACCAAACACATCACTCCCGCAAAAGAAAGAAAAAAGAAACAGCGCGTCGTTTTTGAGACGAATGTTACAATGTTATGCTCCCTCTCCGCGAAAAACATTTTTGATTACTCCTATTTGCTTTATCATCTACAAAAGCATACACATTTTGTAAAAGAGCGCTTGCAATCTCAACGAAATGTCGTGTTTTCATTGGTCGCATCTCGTCCTGGCTGCCAGTGAGTTCGATTTTTGATTGCTCTTTTAATAGGGAAATCGACCACGCATAGTTATTATTAATGAATTCTAAGAATGCTTCGATCCCGTAGAGTGAGTTATCGCTACAATTAGGCTATCCCAAAAACCTCCTCAGGGCAACTTTAAAGGCGAAGCTTGAGCGTCCTCCACGTTTTTTTACTTGCAGCCGAAATTTCGGATCTCGCCTTCTTCGCAAAAAGCCTCCGTCAGACTGCGGGCACCTCGGCCGGGAGGTGAACTGGGTGAACCCGCTACTTGGGGATTTGTAGCCCAGCGCTTTGCCTCGATGCCACGAGCGGCTATCTAACGTTGCATCTGGCTTTCAAACTGTCAAGACCGGTTTACAGACTGGCGTCTGTCTGCGACCGAGACAAGACCGGTTTTTACGCCTCTTGTGCCTGGTTACGACCCTGTTTGAGCTTCGCGGGCAGTAGATTGAAGCTGATCATCTAGGCGACAAGGACAGTATTTTTAAGGCCGGGGTAATAACAGTGATGATCCTTCGGTTCAGCATGAATGTTCTGAAGCTGATTAGTTTCCTTGGTGTTGTGTCCAGCTGAACATACATATCGAGTGTGCGTTAATTTAACCATATTGACTTATGTGCGTTTATTTTTTATTTTTATTACAGTGCCAGTCTGGTTATACTTGCCGAATCAAAGACTGCCCTACCTCACCTTACGAATGTAAGTATTTGGTACAGTCTCTAATATTATAAAGGACCCATTCGCCAAAGGAGTTTATACTGCTTGGCCAGTGTGGGTCTGGTCAAACATACTTTGGCCAGATACCCTCTGTTTTTAGCGAGAGAACAGAACAATCGTTCGTTGATTTACTCACCCCAAGCACTGGAGTACTAGCCAAAGTGAGTCCAGCACAGCGACCTAAAAATACCTCGTCAAATGAGTCTACAATATTATTGGAGAATGTACTGCGACAGCTCCTCTTATATATTTTTTATATTATTTTACTTAAAAACAGCAACATATCCGCCAGACGTGGCAACATGCTTTAAATTTTTATCAGAGCAGTTATTTATTCGCGGTGAGAAACTCGCTATAGTGACGCTCCGGTTTTCTTCACTATGGGCAGTGCACGTGCTACCCACGCGGTTATGTTTAAATTTTTATAGTGCATAGAAGCTTGGCATTGAACGTGCTTGCACCAGTAGAGGAAGTTGAAGTATCCTCACTTTGGGTTGTGAAGAAATTCCACCAGGCGGCGATACCCGAAGTTTTCGCCGCATTTAGTTTAGTCAGAAATTACTTAACGAGACAATTAGAAAAAAAAAAAAACCCATGTACCATGCATCTAAAAGATAAAAAAAAAATTTTTTTTGAAATTGGGAAAGGTAAGGTATCCGTTTGCGTAAGTTTCAATGTTGAATTTGTGTAAATTTTGTGAAGTGAAACTTGTAAGTTGAAATGACTATAATTATAAAACTTCGCAACTTTCAAACTTCCATTGATGAAGACGGAGAGTACACAAAAACAGAAAACAAAACTGGAAATTAGTTTAATAAATGCCTTTTGAAAATTTAGGTAGGAAAGATATAAATTAATCTCACAAGCCAAAGAAAATTAAAAAAAATAAGGACAAAGCACTGATAAATAAAAGAATACTCGATAGTGCCGTACATTTCAAATGTATTGTTCACTTTTTTTTTTTTAATGTAAATTTGTGGCTGCTCGAATGCGGATCCCGGGATGTCTTGTGATTTCTTCTTAACAAGCAGGGTGTAGAGTTATCTTTGAAAAAAGTCAAAACAAGGTGATCTCTATCGGGACTCTGATACTTTTTACTGATATTTTGAATAGATATGTCATTAGACTGCATTGTTTTAGGCGCATCGTCACATCACGTGTTGAGTGACGATACAGTGTCAAGTGACTCCCCCCTGGTGGCTTTATATATTCACAAAACCCTCAGAATATACCCTTCATCGGATTCCTTACTCTGCCTGAAAAATGAAGACCTCAGAGAAAATTAATGCAAAAGAAGTGGTATGCATTTAGACTGCACTTGGAAAATTCTAAGAAAGCAGCCAAAGATTGCGTCAGTAGAGTGGAACCACCCTCCCGGGACAATTGCCACCATCGCGGACCTCGGACCTTTTCAAAACTCCAATTACTAATCTTTTATTTGTTGAGTGTGTTTAACCTATTTTCAGGCTTGTTTTTCTTTTCTGTAGTTTTCTTTGCTCTCCCCCTCTGTAATGCCTCTGGCCTTGAGGGAAAATGAAAAAAAGATATAAATAAATAAATATCGCTCCTGTCTTTTTTCCGCAGGTGTCAAGCTGGAACGGACAAACACTAGGTGCGGTGGCCCTCGCGTAAGTATTTGAAGTTTTTATAAATCCCTTAAAAATAATTTGCGTCTCTGGAAAGCGCGACGCCATCCCGCGGAAAAAAACGCGAATGAGAGACGAGGAATATATCCAAGTGTGCAGCAAAAACCAATATGGCCTGGAAGACCAGTAGACCAATCTCACCAAGTGATCGGCGCATGCGTGTGCCACCATAGCTTTAGTTCACAGGAGGCAAACGGTAGTGCACGAGAGGGCTGGTGCTATCTCGTGCTCCATACGCGCAGAGCTCCAGCAAAGTGGTTGCACGTGCAGAAAGACTAAAGTTCCCTCGATGCATTGCGGCAGCGGTGGCGTAGTAAAACTGGCAAGTGAGATCGGCCTATTGTGAAACAGCTAGAGGAAAAGGGATCGAATGCGTGCTCGTGAGTTGCGTATAGTTCGAGTGATACTGAAAGCAAGAAAATGCAAGGGCAATGCTTGAGAACGTTAAGATAGGAAATAACAGAGAGGGTGAGCCACCTTGTCAAAAAAACATCTAACGTGAGCTTTTACAGTTACAGAAAGGGTAAGATTTTGTCAGGAAAGCAATTAACGTGAACCTTTAGTTGATTAAATCAAGTTGCAACAAAGGTTTTTGCATATATATTTTTAAAAGCGTAGATTATGTTGCACTATAGGATAAATATTGATACCATAGGCTGAAAAAACCTTTTCGTCTTTTTATGGTTCTATTTTGATCTACGAGATCCGTAGATACTGAAAGCCACATATTACACATATATGCCTTAGCTGTAAAAATAAGCACGCGACGATTTGCGGTCAATCCCCGAATACAAGCGAAGGAGAGAAAGTAACAGAAACGGCAAGATTATAGTCAGGGTCAAAACGATTTGACACTATTTCTTTTCTTCTCGCTTTGTTGATACTAAAGAAACTAAAAGAGCAATAGCTTAGACATTATGCGAACCAATGCTGAATGACGACGACATCTCCGCCTGGAAGGGGGGAAAGGGGTTTGGGGGTGGTTTGATGCTAGTTAAAGGTCACGCTCCTGACTGAAGCCGTCCACTTGGAACCACACATATTGGGAATACCTTTGACATGGAAGGCTGTCACAATAATGAGACAGTGTCATTGGCCGAACTCGCCGTCTACCCTAGCGAGCTTGTAAATCTCACTTCTCGAGGAAAGGAAGCACCTCCTTAAAGATCCACAAGACCAAAATGCACCGCTAAATACACCCTCGATAAAAATGTCACCTTGCTACGCGCAGACGCCGATTCTTTCCGGCCGATTATTGAGCTAGCCTAAGCATTGAGGACACCCTATATGCATTCCCTGGATATTTATACTAAGAAGGAAAATATTTACGACAGAAATTTATACTAAATTAGAGAAGTTATTTCCGCAAAATAGCTTTATCGATCTCGGCAAATGTCAGAGCGCTGGTGTTAAAAAAATTTGTGGCTTGATGAAATTAGTTTGATAACTAAATTTTAATCTATGCACCAGAAAACTGAAACACAGGAGACGAGAGCGCGCTGGGACGCCAGAACGCCGAGTTCTGACGTACATCTAAAAAGTACTTCAACTACAAAGTTAATGGGAAGTGATGTACTGCAAATAAAGTTGTAAGTACTCTGGGTGCAATGTACTTGAAGTAAAGTACTATCAATACAACGTACTTCCAATGTACAAGTTTTGCTTAGCGCAATCTTTTGTGATGCCCTTTCATACCGCTATACTGTGTTTTTTTCTTTCCTTTTTTTAACCTGCATACATTGCCCCAGGCGTAATCGGTGGTCATGAGATATTTTCAGAAACGGCGGCGAATATTGGATAAAGTCAAGTGGCGACAGAGGAGCATTTTTTCAGAAATGACGCCAAATTCAGAAGTCCCCTTGCCTTCTGAATTTGGCGCCGCTTGCACTGGATTGTTGCATCTAAGGGGACTAAACGTACTAGGAGAGAGGCTGACGCCAGCCCCGTAGCTTCGGCAAGCATTCCTCTCTTAAGCGAGTGCTTTTTTTTTTTTTTTTCTTAACGGCAACTTCGGTCGAAACGAAACCAAAATAAATGACTGGTATCACTTTAGTGGCACGAAATATGATCACAGCCAAAATATTACGTTAAAGGGAAGCCGCGTAGTTCACTAAAACGACTTTAAAATACTACCAGGTGGTCTTTAGGCAGACGGCAAGCGGGTTAGCTTGTAGTCAAGGAACACTGGGTGGCGTACCCTTGTGACGTCACGTCGCGGTGGAGCTGCGGTTGATTGGTTGTACCGCTTACCGCAGCGCCACGGTTACGTCACGTCGCAGCCTTTGGATTTGGATTCGGGGCTAAACCCTTTGTATCGGGGGGATCTCAGCAGCGCTGGATCTAGCCTGGCTAGTAGCTACACTATAGTCAGTTACAGGTTAAGAAGGTAGCGGCAAATGCCCCTCAAAGGGAATCAGATATCCCTCCGCCACCTCCGCATCCAATAGCGTCCCACCGTTTCCGTGATGTCGTGGCCAACGCGCGAGGAGGGTCTTGCCTTTCTGTACATATTTGCTTTATCTTTCGACTTTGACTTAGCATTGTGGAAGCCACGAGAGGGAGATTAGAGTTCTTTCCCACCGACGGAAACAAATACGACTTTCGGGGATTAGCTTCCCCCCGATGGATACAAAGGCTGCTTTCAGGGGCTCGGTTCCCTCTCCAAAGAATACAAAGGTCGCTTTCTTAAAAAGTGGGATCGGAGACAAGTGGGAAGCCATTGAAGCGGAACAAGGAGCGTTTCCAGTGAACTCTTCTTTCGACCGCGGAGAGATTTGAAACGGGCGCATCACACTTGTGGGAGGAGCTTCTTCTACCTTCTTGACTTGTAACCGACTATAGCCAATGTCTTAGTCATGGGCGTACCAACCAGGGGGGGGGGGGGCAAGGGGGGCACTTACCCCCCAAGGTATGTGTTTTGCCCCCCCCCCCCCCCCCCCCCTGAAACAGCCGCCACTGGGCAGGGCAAACACTGACCGGCGGCACTTACGGGATACCAAGAACACCTCCCTCCGGTCCTGGGGGGGGGGGGGGGGGGGAGGGGGTTCTGGTTTGCCCCCCCCCCCCCCCCAACTTAAAAACAAGTTGGTACGCCGCTGGTCGTAGTCGTATTCCCTTGCCCTCCTCCACCAGCACTCCAGTCTCCTCTTCGTCACCTCCACTGGTTGCGAACAATCGGCGGGGTATTGTTCGTCAACGCTCCGGAAGCCCAGCGCCACCGCCATGTCTGGTTTATACGTAACGTCCGGCTTCAGGCCCGTGCATTCCAATATGACGTGCTCCGCTGTCTCGTCTGCTCACTGCGCGCACATGACGCACTTCACTTCCACGTCCGTGTACTTCGCGCGGCTGATGATCAGTGTTGCCATCCGTCTAGAAGATAGTTTCAGTTTTGCCGTACACGTCCGAAACCAAACTTAGAGCCGTGATTTGTATACAATTACATACGATATCGAAAATTAAATTATACCTTGCAGTTTAGGGACACTGGATTCAAAAATAGTGACCGGAGTTGCCCTTTAAAGAAATTGTTCGGTCAAATTTCGTACTCGAGAAAACAATTGAATTACATTGTTATTGCCTCGAAACGCATCACCCGTGCAATATCAGAATATTATATGCCCCTCTGCATGAGCAATGGAATATTAAACTTCTCCAATCGTACCCTATCCTAATCGATGCTTTCGTTGGCAACATTGAAGCTCTGTCGTCACATAGTTTTAGAATAATAGGAGGGGAATCGGCGGCTAGGGTCAATGAGTTGAAGCGGGAGATACGGGTAGAGTGGGAGAATCGGGTTCAGCCCGAGGCGCAGGTCGGAGATTTGGTTAAAAGGGCCGAAGCGGATGTGGAGGAGATGACCAGGGAATAGCTGGAGAGCTGAGGCAATAACGGGAGCAGCGAGCCGAGCCCGAACGACAGGTGGAAGGGCTTAGACAGCGGGAAGAGTGGAAGGCGGAGTTGGAGGAGCATAAGAAGTGGGAGGATATGAAGCAGCAACTGACAGAAGTAGTTAATAAGGAAAAGGAGGAGGTGGCAGAGAAGATGTCGATATGAGGCGGCAGAGCCAGGGGACAGTTCACTGGTGACCAGGTGGTTGGCAGTGTAAGAAAGGAGGCTGCACAGCTGTATAGTGCTGCAGTATAGCCGGGTTCAAGGAAGGCAGCAGAGGTTTAGGCAGAGAAACCACAGAGTGCTGGAGGGGGTGAAGACAGGCAGTCGGAGGTTAAGACGGTGCTTGTGGTAGGAGACTCAAACATAACAAAGGTTAAAAAGAGGCTGCTGAACAGGGTGAAATGGGGTAAACATAGCGGCCCAGTCAGGAAAGTGCATCGTAGACGCGATGGCCACAGTGAAGGAGGAGGTTTGGGAAAGCAGGGAGGGTGAGAACCTAGTGGTAGTACATGCAAGACCTAATTATGTGTTAAAGGGACGGAGCCAGAACCTCGTCAGGCAGATAGAGTTGGGGTTACGTAAGCTGAGGGAGGTCTCTGGGACGGTGCATGTGCAATTATGCTTCAGCCCAGAGGTCTGGGGACATTCTTTGCAGATAGAGAAGCGGGTGGTGGAAGCTAAAGGTGCATCCACACGACGGACTACATTGCTCTTTTGGTCCGCGGGCCGCGCATCACGTGATCTTACGTCACCGGTTTTCGAGGTCCGCCGGTGGTTTGCGGCCCGCGCTTGTGAGAAATGCCAAGCGACTTTTCTCGCCCGGACCTTGGCGGCGGACCGCGGCGTTTTTAGTAAAATTGAAGTGCTAAGTCTGGCAACAAGCTGACTTTTGTTGTTTGGATTGAGTCGTGTTCTTTTGGCGCCAACTGTTGAAGACGAAGAAGACGAAGCTTTTGTTGTGCAACGATGGCGGCATGGTGCGACGATGCAACTTTTTACTTCATCGCTCGTGGAGCAATTCCCCGCTCTGTGGGACAATAGATGCATGCCCTTTTCGGTTCACTTAAGTCCTCCTCGTCCTCAATAGT